ACCTGGCCCAGCCATGGTGAGGTAGGCTTGACAGTGGGGTATGCAGCTGGTCCTGTCACCCCTGGGTGTGCAGCAGGGCTAGGTTGGTGCCTGGACTGTGCTTCCTGGGTTCCCTGGTGGCAGTGGCTCCTTCCAGCTGTGGCTGCCAGTATCACCACCACTGCTGGACCAAGCTCCACTGCCTGGGCACCCTAGTCTGTCTGCTCTGCACCCACCTCTGGGGGCACTGGACAGAGTAAGTGGCTGGGGTCTCCATGGAGACTGGTCCAGGATCCATGCAGGCAGGGCATGCTCTGCCAGGTGGATGGGATGAGGCTGTGAGTGGGCAGGGAGTGGCATCTGGGAGCAGGATGGATAGGCAGGGCCAGGCCTGGGGCTGGGATGTTGGGGCAGTGCCAGTGCGGTGGTGGGGTCTGGGGCAGAGCCACGATCCACTGTCCAGACCTACCTGTGATGGGCACTGGTTCTACAGGCAGGGGTGTGTGGGGAGTGGATTGCAACTTTGCTTTGGGCCCTGGCCCTGCTTTGTCACTGCCCTGTGATCCTGGCCCTAGCCCCAGCCCTACCTGCCCATACTGCACCCAGATGTTGCTCCCTGCCTGCCCATGGCCACATCCCATCCAGCTGAGCACACTGCCTGTGTTGATCACAGGCCAGTTTCCATGGAGACCCTGGGGCTCGGCCAGGATTGCCAGATGGCAATGGGCCCTGGGGCAGAGGCACTTAGGGCAGGGGTTGTCAACCAGAGGTACCCTGTGGGTACTTGGACCGGTCCTAAGTGAGTACACATGGGCGAGTGGGGACAGAGTGTCACTGCCTTCCAGGAGCAAGGCCGGAGTGGGGCGAGGGCAGTGGCACTCCTCTGTGGGGCAGGGAAGCTTGCATGCGGTGGCCGCCACCACCACACACCAGCCCAGTGAGCTTCCGTGCCCTGTAGAGGGGTGCTGTTGCCCTCACCCCAGCCCAGTGAGCTTCCCCACCCTGCCCCAACCCTGCTCCTGGGAAGCGGCAGCACTCAGTCCCAGCCTGCCCATGCACTGTCCTCACCTCCCTGCTCCATGTCCAGCTGCACACTACCCCTCGGCATCTGGCTGTGCACTGCCCT